AAAAAAGTACATCATGTTAAAATAATGAAATCTTCTTTTTGTGGTCTCCTCGTGTTCACTTGGTTTTCATTGTGTACATTAATATTTTATTTTATTATTTAGTTATTTTAACTATAACACTACCAAAATAAATGAATTTTAAGAAGTCCTAAGAATGCGCTAGAAAAAAATATAAAAATAGTTATTATAAAAAGTTTTTTTTTTTGTTTTAATATAATCTATATTTTTTTTTTTTTTTTAACTTTAATTTACTATTATAATTAATCCTTAATGTTTTTACTTTATATTATCTTATACATTATTTATACAGATTTAAATATTTAATCTACATATTATATATAGCAGGGACAGACTAATAAGTAACAAGTATTTAACAATAACATTTACACATATTATTTTACGTATTGATGTGTACCAATATTAGCCATCGATAATAATAAGTTATTATTATTAACTATACATATAATATTATAGTGGTTAATGGTTATACACTTATACAACGCATATTATGAAGTTCAAAACTAAGTAAAAAACTAAAACTCGGTATAGGTATGTAAAGTCATTATATCTACGGGAATTGTAATTTTCATCTTATTAATTTTAGTTCATTTCTTGCATGTTTTTCTTATTCAAAAATATGTATAAGTGTCAAGTCACGATTTAATTAAAATATAGGTAAATCATTTTTAGATAAATAAAAGTAATTAGTATCTATTTTCGATTTCGTGAACTACATTTTAAATAATAAAGGTATACTATACCTCATCAGCCTCATCAACTCAATATACCTATAAAAAAGTTTATTACAAAAAATTTGTTAGATTCTATATTTTTTCTGTAGGCCCTATTAACAATCCAAAACAAAATTATATTTGAGGAGCTATAAGTTATAACCAAGGTAGGTACCTAAATCCAAGTATTATTATTTCATATTTGTGTTATTTATTTTATTTTGGTTTTTCGCATAGCAGGTAAATATGTAGTCACCAGTAATTATTCTTTTATATTTTACATATAATAAAGAGGGTACTGCAATTATTTATCATTCATTTCATATTCACGCATGCAATTGACATAATATGCATTTTCTATGTCAACGATATTAAACCCATAAAAACGAACAGTTTTACACGTGTTTACATGCATTTTATTGTTGCTATTTACAATATCAGATGCAACGCCCATAAATATAAAACACGTTTAGAGGTAGACAGTATAAGTTACAAATCTCAACGGAGTCGAAAGAATGTCGAAGAATAATGGATTTTACATTTTATTCACGATTCCGATACCTATGTAAGTTAGTTGTGAATTTAAACATTTAATGAACGACAAGTAAATTACATATCACATAATGATATGCAGGTATATTTGTGTAAATGATTCAATGCGTCATGTTTTCCAAGTGTAGTTTGATGGATCAAGTATAGATAAGATGGAAAAAGTGGTGAACACAATATACCAATGAAGTATTAATAAGTAAATAGGTTAAAGTAATAAACTAAAAATATAACCATAAAATGATGAGTAGGTAACAGTAAACTGTAAACATATAAAGTATAAATTATGATGAAACTAGGTGTGAGTGTATATGAAATATTTAATTCTATTAGATGGAATAATATAGCTATTTAAAATAAATTCGTATAATCGTATAATATTACTTTAGATGGATTCTATATAAATTGAAGATTTAACAGACGGAAATGATTCAATTATTGAATACTGTACATTATACATTTATACATATGTATGGTGTCAGCACTCACACAAACAATTTCAGTGACTATAATCAGTATAATCTGACGATTACTTAGATTTCGCTACGGTCTGTGAATTTTACGATTTGACCAATATAAAGTAGTGACAAAGAAACTGGCCTAAATTGTTGAGACGTAGAATTGGAAAAAAAATAAACGGACTTAAGCCATCAAAAACCTGTGATAAACAGATGTAAATATGAACTAATATGTCATTATTAAGAAATGAATTGCTCGTTTTATATTAATATCCGATTTAAAAAAAAATTCTACCTAAAATGTGAGAAGTAGGACGACAAAACGAAAAATAATTCTTAAAATACTTTAGTTACAATAAACAATAATTGAAGTAACTATGCTCAAACGAGACACTTATTTGATTCCAAGATCTTTCTTCTTAATGGTGAATGATCGTTGTATTTTTTTTATTTCTATGATAAGTTATAGTGATTATGGAGTATAAGGAGAATTTTTTCTTGTTATTGAATCCTAAATAAACGGATTAACTGTGTGAATAACCTTTAGAAATGAAATTCTAGATATAACTGGGGCTCGGATTTTTATTTTCACTATAACTTGATAAATTAATTTAGGCAAGTGATGTAGGTACATTTTTTTCACGTGATTTTTAATTAAATACATATTTTTGCATGGTTCACAATAATTCTGTTTTTTTTCACGTGTTATTTTGACAACTTTGACAATATAATATAATACTAATATAAATAACATTTTATCGGCTAAAATACCAGATACCTAATCAAAATATTAATTAATCTGTTTTATGGTTACCCAAAAATTCGACATGTAACGAACCACATGTTTCGTGGTTTAAGCTAAGTTTGTTTATTGTTTACGTGTGCATTAATATATTTTTTAATTTTTAACCTCAAAGATTCGATCAATTTGATCTGAAAATAAAATAATTAAAGAAGTGCGTATTCGACATTATGACATATCATTTTTTTACTTTACAAATTTTCCGTGTACGTTGGTACCTACTACTGTACTATAATATACCCATGGAGAATGGGTGTACATGAATTGTACATACACATGTAAGGCATTTACATTTAAAATAAATGAACCATATAAGACATAAGTATATTTTTGAGTTTTGAGTTAAAATCACCTATTTTGGTTGTATAAATATATATTTCTGTAGTAATAGTATACGACTAAATACATTAAAATCTGAGACCTAGATAACATACGAGGATGGACACTGATAATCTCAAATCAAAAGTTCAAAAGAGTAAAAACCCTAAGATAAAACAACAAACACAATACAATTACAAAATAAATATATGTAACACGAACTCTAATGCTATACAGACTGTAGAGTGTAGACGTTACGGTAAGCAACTCTGATCGAGTTACGTATTATTCTCGTTAACCACAGTTGTCCAAGATCCACGATTGAGATGGGCAATGAACCTTAAACAAAAACAAATAAAGACTTCTGACATAAATAATATGCATAAGTACTGTTTGTCCCAAGAAATTTAAAACAAAAAATAGGATCATTGAAATATATAAATCATTAATCATTATAAATATTCTACTAGTGTTATAATAGGTTAATATCTAGATGTATAAAAATTCTAGACTTTATTCTTAAATGCAACTCTTATTAAAATGTTTGAAAGATATTTAAATATATTTTAGTAAAAAATTCTAGTCTATAGACTATAATACACGAGTAAGCTGAAAATAATAATATACGATTTATAAGTACATTATAATGTACTAAGTTATAAAATTGATTTCAATTAATTTAAATATTAACTTAAGACATATGAGCTAATCATTGTCGTATAATATATAATATAGGCATTTACCAAGAAAATAAACTTGCCAAGACAATGATGAACTACCTATATACAACAAGTTCTGTCAATGATTATTGTTCATACAATATATTTTGATGAATTAATTTACAAACAACTGAACATAATTAAAACGCTAGAGGTAAAATGAGTTAAGACCTTACTGGCTTAGCATACTTAATTAAAAAAGTAGAAGGTAGTATGTTGAATGTTGATGTATTGTTTAACTGGACATCAAAAGGCGTAAAGTGGAACAAGCAGTACTATTATAACTTATAAGTGACTAATTTTTAAAATGGATCTAATAGGCATAGTGTTATTGATTTTAAAACTTTAAGAAAGGACACAAAAAGCTATTTAAAATATTAAGTTTAATTATTATTTTATCTTCCGTAAGTTACGATAATCTTATTATGTTTTCGGGGTGTGAGGGAACCCGAAGAAAGAATCATAATATTAATAATATTATGTAGACAACTTTATCAAATATTTTACTAATTAGGTATTGAATATGACAGTACTATATTTCGGTATGATCTTCTTTTACAATCAATTTGATCTGAAAATAAAATAATTAAAGAAGTGTATATTTGGTATTGTATTATTTTATGAATTATCAATTGCATAGGTATCTATTAGTTCAATGTAATGAATAATTGAAAACCACATGTAAAACTGAAACTTTTCATAGTATAAACTACAGGACTAGTATATAGGTAGACATGTTTTTACATATCCAATTACATTGAGCTACACTTGTTTACCATTTTATTGGACCCCGTATATTTTTAGTTTATTTAAAACACTAAACAAATATTTATTATATATTTAATTTTACAAAATATTTATTAAGTTGTTATTTTTTTTTTTTTACGGAACATTAACCAAATTGTAAAATTAATGACTAGACATTTTTTTTCCTTAAATACATTTCAACCAAAACCATCATTATAAGTTAGAAACGACTATTATTTAAAAAATATAAGCATTACCTTTCTGTTATTTGATATTTTTTTTATCAAAGTAACTGAAAATGTGAAAGTTTAAACATTCGGAAACAAAATAAGACGTAGGTTACACTCACTACACGTTAAGCTAAAAAAAATTAGTTTATAGTGGCCATAAACATAAGTAGTAAATGTATTATTCACGTCGGATGCCACATTTGTCATAAATTCGCTAAGTATTTGCCATGTTTCCTCTGTCGATAAGCATCGCAGAGAAACTAGTAAACGGTAAATAATCAGTTAATGCCTCGAATGCCGATCAAAATCAAAGGAAACATAATAATATTATAGACCTCATCACGAATAAACGCACTACCTATACATTTACAGAAGGAATTTATATACTACATGAGTTTTTATTAGCCGATGTAAATACTTATTGTGTTGTTGCATTTATTTTTCAGAAACCGGATAACGGAAACGACCGTCGGATGTCTGTGGAACGGTCGTAAAGCAACGCCGGTGGTTTTGTCGTGATGAGCGTGCGGGCGCTATTGCGCGCGATACTTTTGGCCGTCTTGGTCGCCGCGACATGTCAAGCCGACGAAACAACGAGCGATTATTCCGCCGCTGAATCTACAGACCGACCGGAGTCGACTGAAGACGAGGTAAGATCCGACGAAGTAAAATTATGTAATAATACTCCAATAAGTCAGACATAATACAAAAACATTTTTAATTACAAATTATATACATGTAGAGGTACATATGGGAAGGTATGTGTTAAAAGATGTGTTCTTTTTTTTTAAATCCATACTAATAGCCATTAAAAAAACACTTAAATAATTATAGCCTGCCTGTATTAACTATAGTCACTACTCTCACTATCTATACCTAATCAATGCTTAAACCTGTGTTTAATTTTAAAAAAAAAATTAAAATTCGTTGTTCTGAATATTATACTTTAGTCAAACTACAAAAGATGGCACAGATTATGATCACAAAATAAAATGGAAAAATTATTTCCTTGTTAATAAATATAGTATAATAAGTAGTTAAAACTATTTAATTATTATTTATTTATTTTAAGATGTGAAATCACACAATATTGTAAAATCAATACATTTATCGCTCCACTCAAAATTTAAAGTCATTGTCAATTTGAAAATAATACTATATACTACTTTATTCTATTTTGTTCTATGATATTAATTATTTCTTTAATATTTTAATCATAAATCATGAAAAATCTTATAAGAACCAAAAAAAATGTTCTATTATTTAAGTTATATCGAATTTATTTATTTGATTTATCTAACTGTTCATACCATCAAGCATGTAATATAATTGTGTATACCTACTATAAATACGATATCCTGATAATAATAAAATATATAAATTGAATTTCAACATTATTGTGTGATGGCAACGACTCTGCGGGTGACTGACGTGCAATTATTTTGGTAAATTATTTTATTTTGCACTTAAAATGTTTTTCTTTATATATATATATATATGAGAAACACATATATCAGTGAGATATTTGTGTTTCTTACAGGTAAAAAAAATCATCAATCTAAACGGTAACTATTCGTAATTGAAATAAAATTTATTGACAAATATATATTATATATAATGTAACATTGAGGTTAAAATTGCCCTGATAGCTTTACGCATGCTTAGAGTAGGTACTCGTTTTATTTTTACCAGACAGAATCACGTATTTATATTTTTTATACGTAAAAAAAGTGACAAACTAGACGAAATCTATCCTTAAGAACGTGTCACCACTCACCAGTGTCATCGAGGGAAATTGAATGGCAATTGGGTCAAATATATAAAAATGAACAATGTAAAGAAAACCAACCACGGTAGCCGAAAAACTATAATAGATGGATAGGTAGACAGGTAGTATCAAACAAAAACTGATCAAAATCCTTTAATTTTTTAGTTTTACTAATGAATTTTTTTTTGTTTTTTGATAGTTATACTACATAATATGTTTAATTCATAAATTAAGGAGTAGGTATAAACTTATTTTGTTAAGTTAAAGCGTTACAACAATTGGATAAAAATGCTTTTATCATACATATTTGACTTTCTCGTGATTCATCATGTCAAAGTATCATCGTTTAAAAAATAAATGAGAATACGTATTTTCTAATAACATTGTCGAAGACATTAGATCATAATTTGTATAGAAAAAAGAACTGCTACTCGCTAACGTATATTAGTATACTCTAATGTAGTATAGTTTTTTGACTGCTTAGCTATAATATTGATATAATTGGCATTATGAGTGCGACAAACAAGTTAAGCGAGACATAATTGTTATTTGTTAGTTTTTCCAAATATATTTATCGGACAGTAATAATATATAGGTACTGTTGTTAGACCATCTCGCGCGAAACATAACGCCCACTCTGGAAATACACGCGTTCACAAACGGTGAATCGATAAAGATTGTCAATTTAAACTTTAAAGAGTACAACAAAAATGTTAATACACTCAATCTATTTAACCGATCAATACACGCACATATACAACACGTCTGCCTGCTCGCCTTTCGTTTAATTTTCTTTTAAAGCGGACGCAACTGGGTCATTTGCGGTTTGAATACATCGAACAAAACAGCGATTGTGATTTTACAATCCTTTTGCTCGCACATATTATGTATATATACTGCGGGTATGCCCATAAACTTAAATTATTTATCGTGGTCGGCAAAGAACTACCTGTGCGTGTACGCATTATTATAAACACAATCATCTCGATCGTGGGCGTGCGTTCCTATTTATATATTATATATATTTTATTGCGAATCGCGATTTCGCTTTTTTTTTTTACCATCGACCTGGACCGCATTAGCATGTGTACCTACAGATAGTGTGGACCCGCGGTGCAGCGCTTATAATAATACAAAAGTACTAAACTCCTCAGTCTCCGTACCCGTCGACAGACTCATTCGTGTTTCCGGCCCCTGACCGCTTCCGTTTCTGCTATATGCGGTTCGATCGCCACGCATCGGCTTTATCCGCGATATAATTCGATTTGGCCGATCGCCCGAGTTAATGGTCCAGCGCAAATGGCCACTCTGCACCGGTGCTGCTGCAGTCGATCCACTGTGCGTTTTCGTGTAAACACGTCATAATACAACACGCATTAAATATACCGGACAATACGCGACGACGCACATTTCTTGCATAATGTGCACGATAATAACCCCGGAACAAATGCAATTGATCTGCTTCGGATAGCCGATGGGTAATCCGCACACACAGTCGTGTGCAATGTCCCATGACACACTGCACCGTATCCACTGTCACGGCGTATGCCTAGCGTACAGTGGTGGCGGGCGCGACATTCCTCGGGAGCAACGGGTTTTGCACTTCCACCGTGACGATGCCCTGATAAGGCAGTGGCACCTGTTGATTTGTGTCTGTGTGTGTGTGTGGTGATGACGAATGTCATTATAGGGCTGCGGAATACCGTTTCCAAAACGATTTGGGATTTTTTTTTATCGAGATAACGGCCTTGGTGTGTTGGCCCACAAGTCCAAGGTTATAAATAATAGTCATATGTGTTGATGTTTCGTGGTGCTGACGGTACGTAACTTTATTATCTTACGGTTACAAGTTTACGACTAATATACAAACTCCAAACGTCAATATAAATAGTTATTACTCAGTGTATCAGTGTGAGACTGCAGTGCATATCACAATATGACTGGAAGTATTTTTGTATTTGATGTTTGTTTGACTGTTTTTGATTTTTAGTTTTGCTCTCTACGTATTATAGGTATATATTTGTCTTTTATATTAAAATACGCGAATATCATGATAAATGTTACAAATATAAATATGATGAATCGTTTTTATTTTAATTTAAAGTGAAAAGTGATTCATGAATACAACAATACTTGCATAATATGCTGTTGGGAGTATTCCAATATCAAGTATCCATTTTATTTTATATTGCGCTAATATCAACAGATTTCTAGTATTGTATTTCAATCCGATAACTTAGAAATGGACTGACATTATAAATGTCAAATACCTATGTACATTTTAATAGAACCGTGTTCTATATAATTATAGTCATATCGAAATGAAAACCGATCAATTGGTAAATGAACTTATGAAGAGAAATCCTACATATAAAAATTATTATTAGTGTTGGTGTACAATTCAGAACGCATGACAAAAGAAATCTTGAATTTTATATCCTCATTTACTGGGTTTACGAACAATAGATTTTAGTCTTAGCTAATTTTTGTAGCGATAGCATATATAATAATAACATATTATTATATTGGTTTATGGTTATAACATTGTCATTATGAAAAATTGTACTACGACTTATTTGTTATCATGTCATAAAGTTATAATTCTAATTTATTTAACCAACCCTATCGAGGTCTTACCATTCACAGTATAACATTTCGTTTAAATCTACTTTTACTTTGTAATATATAACGCCAACTATAACTAAGTTTTATAATAGGTAATGATGTGCACTATTGTACACGGACGTATTCGGTTTTGTAAGACATGTATAATATACACTTTATCTATACGTTCTTGAAAATTACTACCTATTATATTGACACGTTTTGTCATGTTCTAAATAATTTTAGTTTAGAGAACTTTAAATTACTGTATAAAAATTCTTCAACAAATCGAAAGTCTTTTTACAGCTATTATTGTCTATATCGATTGACGGTTAATACTAGTTTATTGTATTTGGTTCTTAAAATCAAATTACCTACTATAACAATTTATATTTTAAACCATAAATGAGCGAATAAAATATTTACTGTAACTTAAAGTTAGTGCCTAAATACAGTTTGACATTTTAGTAAAACGAATCTATGTTAATGTCATATTAGTAATTCATAATATTCGCATATTAATTTTGAGAATAATAATTATAACAATAAATAATAATAAAAAAGATACTTAACACTGGTCATGAGATTTGGCATTTTAATATCCATCTCAAAATTCATATTACTACAGCTAATGTTTAAAATAAATAGGTAAATCACTGCATACAAAATATATCGTATATTATATTAAAACTCATTGCTTTAAAAGTTTAAAAGGAAATCTCAAATAGTTCATAGACTAATAGACTAGGTATATTAAATAGTGTACTACGTGTATGTCTTATTTGATTTCGTGAAAATAATGTTGAATTCGGTATTCAAAAAACAGTTGACACTTGACAATAGTATAATATGTAATAACTGTACCTACTTATATATTGACGTTTGCCTTATCGTTTCGAGCGAATTCTTTTAAAAGACGTTAATTTATAAGAATACATATGAGAAATTACATAAATGTTCCGTTACGATTCATATGATAACAACCGTAAAATACAAAAACATCTTGCTCGATTCTATTTACAGTTTTATTTTCATTTGGAGTTGTTTTTTCAAATTATATGCTGTACCTATACTACTTAAAACAATTTGTGCGGTAGCCGCTACATCAATGCTAAATGCATACACGTGCGTGTATTTGTATAATTACTTAATATTTGAGAATAACCAACCTATAACAAACGAAACGGCATGCGAGAGATCTTTGATTCCATGAAATCCATTAACCCCTGTGTAACGGTCGAGTACGCCTTCGACCAATCAACGAAATTTCTATTCGGT